TTGTTTCCGAAAGACCCTCAATACAACCAAATCACAACAATTACGACAAAGAACTATGGCAAGCGAAGTAGTAACAACAATTAAAAAAATAAGCGAAGCAAAGAGAAAAATATCGAACTAAAAATAATGAACACAAGGATAACACTAGTACTACAGCTAGAGAAGGAAGTACATGTGTGAAAAGGAAATAAACACGACCACTAACTAACCTATAACCCTAATTTTTTGACCTCCACCCCCTCCTATCCAGGATCATGTCTTCGGTAAACACTAAATATGCCCCGTCTGATGAACAAATTACTGTGATCCATCCAAAATATGTATAGATATTCATGGGCCATATTCATAAATGACATGAATGATTATAAAAATATTTTTTTATATCATTAGTGCATAAAACATAAAAGTCGGAGAAAATCAATAGCTATTGTTCGAGAAGATGTGAAAAAGCAAGATGAAAGGGCGCAAACGACTTCTCTAAATTTTCTTTTATTTTTTAGTTTTCAAGGGGTTAAATTAGGAGATACTTGACACTATGGGAAAAGAAAACAGAAACAGGGAAAACAGCAACTTCACTCTGTAAATGCTTTTATTTATTAATGTTGGATATCACAACAATTCGATTTTGCAGCTTGCGCTGACTGAAAGAAACTAAGTACAAGAGTAGTAAGTACATAAAAGGGTACAATATCTGTATCAGTTGATAGCAGAGCAAACTTTACGAATTTCACCATTAGTGCCAGTCTTAACTTCAATATTGCTCATTTTAACCATGGACCTGCCAAACTCCACGCCGAATGTCAATCCAAGTAATCCCCTAATACCTAAAAACCTTTGGACAAACACCTGTGTAGAAGCATCGGTCCACAGCTTCTGGTCTGATTCCAGAACTCCACGACCATTCCTGAGGTTGGAGAAATACGAAGTGTCGAAATTGTTTACGCTTCCAGTGTCTAGTCCCACACGCCTTGAGGCATCCCCATTTTGTGGACATAATGCTCGAAGCTGAGGAAGAAAGGTTGCATCTATTGAAGGGTCAGGGCCACCAGTGGAGTTGAAATTGAATAGCCTGTCTCTGATGACTGCGCAACCTGCGGTTCCAATAGTGTGCGCACCTAGCCACACAAAATTAAGCATTGATTATACACACAAGGGTTGATGTATTAGTATCTCTTTGAAGGCTACTTTCATTTTATATGACAACCTCTTCTGGGCACGACGTTAGAAAATAAAGATTTTTGACACGCACCAAAAGTATGATAGAACTTGAGGACCGTGTTAAATTGCCATGACAATTTTATCGTTATAAGAACATGCATGTCATTAAAGATAAAAATAAGAAATTTGTAGTTAAAATAGTTCCCACCTGCTTTGCCATGCTAACAAATAATTAAAACATAGTACTATGTTATACTCATTACTTAGTTACCAGTAAGGGCGACAAGATCTTGAGTGTTGAGACCCTTTGTAAGAAACTTTCGCTTTTGAATATCCACAGAATCAAAAAAAGCTGGCAGGTCACCCGCATCAGCTGCTCTCGAAACTCGCCCATCTCTACGTCCCGTAGGCACAGACCATGTCAGTCCCCTAGTCTGCATCAACAATAGTAGATTATTACTACAAAGGATTTAGCTTAATTATATACTAAGAATTTTACACCATAAGCATATTTTAACCCGTTTTAGTAGGTAATTTTGTATTACTTTTCAGGTCATAAATAAATTCCTAAATATTCTTAATGTATAGAAGTAAAACTCTATTATGGATACATGCATGGGACCATACAAACTATTTACCATTCAAGCATGGTCGCATGAGTTGGAACGGAGGAAATATACGTTTAGATATTTGTGCGTGTATATAGATAATAAGAAGCGTAAAATATATAAGACAATGGGGGAGATATTCTTACCGCAACAACGGAATCACGAGCAGCTAGAGCAAGAATATCAGCACAGGAAACAACTCCAGGACAGATAGCTTCAATTTGCGTCTTAGCATCCTCAATAACGTCGAATCCTTTCAAATTTCTGTTTGGGATAGCAGTTCTCTCAGCGTCTGAACCTTCAATGAGGATAGAACCATCACAACCTAGTACAAAACAATCATGGAAGTGCATTCTCAGGATTCCTGGTGCCACC